CCATTTTTGTCCCCTGGCTTTGTCACCCTGAAGTGGGCTAGGTGGGTGGGTTCGACTCCCCAGGAGAGCGCTGTGTCAGCCCTTCCTTCAGGACGGGGAGGTGAGGAGGTCTTCCCGTGCAGGAGCGGCCTTTCCCTCTGGTGGGCGCACCTCATTCCGGCTGTCCCTGAGCAGTTCCCACATGCACCCAGTCGCTGTCGGCCCCCCAAGCCCCACCCTGTTCCCCTTCAGTGTCTGTCTGTGTGGCGGTGTCTGTCCCCCTCCCCCCGTGACTGCGGTGACGGTGCAGGGTTGGGATGTCCCGGTCTGGAACTAACTCTCGCTGTCTTTTTCCTTCTGCGCTCACCCACGCCACCTCACTCTGCCTCTCAGACCTTGCAGTGTTCAAGGAACGACTCCGAATGCTAACCGTAGGAGGTAGGAAAATAACGCGCCCTTCACCTCTCCGGAGCTGAGGACCTCATTTGAGCAGGATGTGCAACTTTTCCCAGCATGCCATTTGGGGAAAGTTGACCGTTCCTTGTCCTCACGTGCGTTGTCCCGTCACTCCGCTGTCACCCAGCAGGGTGGCGCCACTTCTGTGTCATTTCTGTTCCGTCCATTCTCCCCTCCCATGTGTCTCGCCGCTGCTTTGCTGAGCTCTCCAGTGCAGGCGGCCTGGAGCTCCTGCTCAGCCAGCGGGGGCGGAGGCCACGCGGCATCTGCATGTGGGCACACCCTCTCCTCCACCTTCCATGCTGTGCCTTCGACTGGGCTCTGGATTCTTTCTGGTTCTATTTCCGGTGCATTTGGGACGAGATTCTCTGTTGATCTTCCCATGTTTGAGGGACAACTAAAGCACTGATAGAAACTTACTTCATGATGTAAGGAATCCTCAGTGACCCGTGGTTCTGGGCAAAACACTTTGAAGAATCCAGAGTGAGGGCTGGGGTCCATCTGCCTGTTGTCACGCCCCCCGTGGCCAGTCTTCCTTCCATGCCAGGTGGCCCTGGGCGGTTCTCTTTTTCCTCCATCTCACCACAGCTGTGAGACCCCAGTTCTGATGACACTTTTTGTTTCGCGATCACTGTGGACTCATAGGCAGTTGTAAGAATTCGCAGAGATCCTCGTGCCTTGAGGCCGGTCCCATGGTGGTGACGTCTTGTAGACCATAGCGCATCCCACCAGGGTGCTGGCCAGGCCGGTCAGGGCCTTCCTGTAGCCTTCCTTAGCCACACCCGCCTTCCCTCCATCCTCCTCCCATTCAGCCCCGGCAACCACGATCCTGGGCTCCGTTTCTGGAGCATTTTTGGCAGTGCAAGGACGTTATGCAGATGGGACCACAGTGTGTAACATTTGGGAATTGGCAGTTTTCAATCAACCCAATTTTTCGGGGGTTCAAGCCAGGTGGGTTTGTAACACTGGTTTGTCCCTTCTTGCTGAGCAGAATCCTCCCCGTGGCTGTCCCACACGTCACTGTTCACTCATGGACCTTGGCATTGTTCCCGTTCCTTGGCTAATAGGGTCTTTTGCTGGGCAAAGTTCTAAATTCTGATGGAGTCTGGTTTGTCAGTTTTCCCTTCTATGGATTGTGCTTTTGTTGCCAAACCTAAGAATCCGATGATTTTCGTCTACGTATCTTTCTTTTTTTTTTTTTAAGATGTATTTATTTATTTTAGAGGGAAAGTGTACGTGGGAGGAGGGGCAGAGGGAGAGAGAAGATCCACACTGAGTGCAGAGCCCATAGCCCAGCGGCGGACTCCGTCTCACAACTCGGATATCATGACCTCAGCTGAAATCCCGCTGGCCACTTCTCCTTCTCAGCCACCCAGGCACCCCTCTATGTACTTTTCTAATGGTTCTCCAGTTTTGCATTTTACATTTAAATCTATGATCCATTTTGAGTTAATTTCTGTATAAAACCTGAATTTTAGGTCGAGGGGGTTTTTTTGTTGGTTTTGGGGGAGTTTTTTTGGCTGTGGTTGTCCGGTTGCCCCAACACCTGGAAAGTTTGTCTTCCCTCTGTTGAATTGCTTTTGCATTTTTGTCAAAAGTCGGTTGGATTGACTTGCACCAATCTGTTCCTGGATTCTCAATCCTTTCCTATAGTCTCTGTATCTGTTCCCCCACCACTGTCACTCTTGGTTACCCTAACTACTGAGCTTTATTTTCCTGCTTCGGAACTGTTGTGGCTGTTCTAGGGCCTTTCTCTTTCAGATGAGTTTGAGAGAAGGCCTGTCTGTTCACACAACAAGTTGCTGACATTTTGGTGACAGCAGTGCTAAATCTACAGACCCTTTTAAGAGAACTGGCATGTTTATCCCATTGCCTCCCAATCCATGAACCTAGTATGCCTGTCTATTTAGATCGTTTTTTATTTCTTTCATTAGTTTTTTGTAGTTTTCAATGTGTAAGTCCTGGAAATGTCGTGTTAGATTTATACCCAAGATTCTTTTTCTTTTTAATTTTAGTGTCTGCATATCATTACTAATATCTAGAAATACTAATATCTAGAAATAGGGGATTTTTGTGTTCATGTTGTATCCTGTGGCCTTACTTGAGCTCACTTACTCTAGGACTTTTTTTTGGGGCGGGGGGGGTCGGTTCTATAGAATTTTCTGTGTAGAGGATCATGTCATCTAACAAGAGGAACAATGATTTCTTCCTTTTTAACCTATGTTCCTGTTATTCCCTTTGCATGCCTAATTGCCCTGGCGAGAATCTTGAATACTGTTGAGTAAGAGTGCTGAGAATGCACATCTTCACTTTGTTTCTGATCTTAGGGGGAAAGCTCTCAGTCTTTCATCACCAATTTAGTATTAGCTATAGATTTTTTTATAGATGTTCTTTTCAAGTTGACAAAGTTCCCTTCTCTTTATATTTTTTTGCTGGTTTTTATTTTGAAGAAGTGCGAAAATGTTCTGTATCTGTTGACACACATGATTTTTCTTTAACATGATAGTATGGCGGATTACACGGATTGATTTTCAAATATTGAACCAACCTTGTATCACTGGAATAAACTTCACTTGGTCACGGTCCTGAATTCTTTTTAAATATTGCTGCAACTACATATTTCCTGCATCTATATTAATGAGGGATGTTGGTCTGTAATTTTCTTTTTTCATCTGTCTTTGCCATTTGTATCAAGGTAGTTCTAGCCTCATAAAATGAGTTATTGTGGTTGGGGTTTTTTTTCCTCCTTTGTTTTCTATGCTGAAAGAGATTATGTGGAGCTGGTGCTAATTATTCTTGAAGCATTTGGTAGATTTCTTCAACAAGACCACGTGGTTGTTTCTTTTTCAGCTTTTTATTTAGAAATCCAATGTCCTTAATGGTTGTAGAGCTGTTGCAAATTGTTTTGTCCCGAGTCGAGTAATGGCCGTTGGTACTGTTCTCCGAATGCTGTGTTTCATCTGACTTGTCAAGTGTACCTACAGAGGGTGGTTCACAGGATTCCCTTAGTATCTTGTTGATATCTGCGGGGTCTGTATTGCTACCCTGTTTTGTTCCTGATACCTGTAATTTGTGTCTCTGTTAGTGTTTTGTTTTATTTAAGATTTTATTTATCTAGAAAGAGAGGGGGATAGAGAGTGCGCATGTCTTTTGCGGCGGTGGGGGGCAGAGGGAGAAGGTGACTTCCAAGCAGACTCCGTGCTGAGCATGGAGCCTGACCCAGAGCTGATCTCACAACCCCGGGAGCATGGCCTGAGCTGAAGCCAAGAGTCAGCCGTTTATATGACTGAGCCACTCGGGCACCCTGAGACTTTGCCTCTTCTGTAATGTGTGTGTTTACTGCTGAGATTTTCCTCTGGGAACTGCTCTAGCTGTGACACAGAATTTGGTATCATATTTTCATTTTCATTCAGTTCAATGTGTTGATACCCTGTAATACTTCCTCCGTCGTTTATGGATCGTTCAGGAGTGTGTAGTTTCATCTCCAGTAATTTGGAGATTTTCCTTTTATCTGTCTTACTGATTTCTAGTCTAATTCCATTTTGGTTAGAGAATGCACTCTGTATGATTTCAGCTCTGCTAAACTTGTCGAGGAGTTTTTATGGCCCAGGAATTGTCTGTCTTTGCATATGCCCCAGGGCACTTGGAAAGAAGGTGTACTCTGCTGTGGTTGGGTCCAGTGTTCCGTAAATGCCTGTTAGAGCTTGCTGGTCGGTGGTTGTTGACTCCTGTATCCTTGGCGAGTTTCTGTTTACTCTTTCAATGAATTCTTCAAGAGAGAAATGTTGAAGTCTCCAACTATACTTGTGGGTTTCTCTATTTCTCCTTTTCCCCCCCTTTTTTTAAGGTTTTATTTATGTATTTGATAGAGAGATAGAGCCAGAGAGTACGAGCAGAGGGAATGGCAGAAGGAAAGATAGAAGCAGACTCCCCACTGAGCAGGGAGCCCGATGCGGGGCCCCAATCTCAGGCCCCTGGGATCATGACCTGAGCCAAAGGCAGACGCTTAACCATCTGAGCCCCCCCAGGCACCCCTGTGTGTTTCTCCTTCCTGTCCTCAGTTTTTGGCTCACGTTATTTGTAGTTCCATCATTGGGTGCATGCACGGCTAGGATTCCTGTCTTCCAGGTGGATTGACCTGTTGTCATGTAATGATATTCCCTGTGTCTAGTAATTTTCTTTGCTCTGATGTCTACTGTATCTGATAATAATACAGCTACCTCTGCTTTTGGTTGTGTTTACATTTTTATTTTTTTCTATCCTTTTACTTTTAATCTGTCTATGTCATTATATTTGAAGTGGATTTCTTGTAGACAAGCATCTAGTGGGGTCCTTTTTAATTTTTTTTAATCCATTTTTCCAGTCTCTGTCTTCTAGTTGGTATATTTAGATCACTTATATTTAATGTAATTATTGATATGCTGGGGCTTAAGTCTAACATCTTGCTCTTTATTTTCTGTTTATTCTTTTTCATTTTTCTGCCCTCTTTCTCCTGACTTCAGATGGGTTTTTAAGCCTATATTTTAGAATTTCATTTTTATTTTTATATAGTATTTTTGGTCATATTTTTGTGTTTTTAGTAGTTGTTTTCAGCCTTTTTTGTGCTTGTCTAGGTATGATATTCTTTATCTACGTTTCATCACAATCTACTGGTATTGCTGCTTTATGAGTTCAGATGAAGTATAGACAGTGTACCTCCCTCTCTATCCCTTTACTGTCTTCATTTAAAATAAAATTATCTTAAATACTTTCTCTACATGTTTAGAACCACATCAGACAGTGGCATAAGTTTGGCCTCAACCATCAGCCCTAAGTTAGAAGACCCAGGAGGAGAAGGGAAGTCTGCTTTATTAACCTGTCTATTTTATTCCATGTTCCTCCTCCCTAATGTCTAAGATCCCTTCTGATGTCACTTCCATTCTCTGTAGAGAATTTTCTGTAGCCATTCCTGTAAGTGACAGACTCTTTCCATTCCCTGCAACTGAGAATGCCTCCATTTCCCCTTCATTCCTAAAGGGCGTCATCCCCGGACACGGGGCTCTGGAAAAGTGTGCACCCGTGTTCCCCTGCACCCCGGCTCCTGATGAGAAACCCTCTGCCTTCAAGTGGTTTCTCCCTCCTTTTACTCTGGCTGCTTTCAAGATTTTTTCTTTGTCTTTAATTTTGAGCAGTGTAATTATGCCATGTTTTGGCGTGGTTTTCTTTGGGTTTTTCCTGGGGGTTCACCCTGCTTCTTCGATCTGTGGGTTGAAGTCTCTGGCCATATTTTAGGCATTTCAGCCATTATTTTCCAGGTCCCTTTTTTCATCTTCCCTCTCCCTCCTCCCCTTCTGGGATTCTTGTGCACAAACATGAAGGCTTTTGTTTTACGTTCCATGTCCCCAAGGCTTTCTTCATTTCTCTCTGTTGTTCACATTGGTTCATCTCTATTGTTCTGTCTTCAGGGTCCTTGGTCCTCTGACCCCTGCCTCTGCCCTCTACCCCACCTGCCCGCTTTAATTCGGGTGATTACATTTTGCAGTTTCAGACTTTCCCATTTGGTCCTTTCTGCATCTTCGGTTTTTGTAGACACTCAGTTGCCCACTGAGGGCTTACTGAAGTGTCTGAGGGCGGCTGCTGGAGAGCCCCAAGTGGGTAGTTCCAGTGTCCGTGCTGCTGGGAGCTGGGTCTGTAGGTTATCTTTCCCCATTCAGTCTGAGCGATTCCTGGTTCTTGCTGTGAGGGATTCTTTTATGGAAACCGGGATGTTTGGGTATTATCAGACTTGGAATCAGACCCCGATGTCTATTACAGCAGGGCCTGTCTCAACACTGCCATGGGAGGGAGGGGCCCCAGTGCCCACGGACTCCGCTGATGCTGGGATGGGGAAGTGGGCTGGTGCATCCCCTTCTTGGGGAGCAAAGTCTGGGCTCCCTGTTGGGCCTTCCCTGAAACCCTGGGATGGAGCTGGACGCTGGCGTGCCTCGCAGCCTGCAGGGGTGTGGCGGGCTGCAGCGTGTACTGCGTGTTTGGGCAGAATAGAGCGGTCATTGTCTGAATTCTCGGCCCTGCTCGGCGGCCCCTTTCCTGACCCTTTAGAGAGAGTGGCTTTCCCTGGGGCTCTTTTTGGCTGTATCTGGAAGAGTTCTCAGGTTGCTTGTTCTTTGCCCCAAGTTTGGGGTCTGGGAGCCCAGAAGGAGATCTGGGGGCCTTGTTGGCTGCTCAGCCTTCTTCTGCACCGCGTTTGTTTTACCTCTGGTGTCTGGGCTTTGTAGTTGCAGTTCGTGGGGCACAGTTAGGAATACGTCTGCTCCACCTTCCCGGAAGCAGGTGTCCAAAAGTCAGTTTCTTCTGTGACTGAAGAACGTAGCCGCAGGACAGCCCGGGACTGGTCAGTGCAGACTGACAGGGCGAGGAGCCGCGCGCGTGCTGGGTGGGTCCTGCCATGCTGAGGCTCTCTCGATCAGCGCATTCCCAACAGAGTATGCATGCCTGTTCTCATCATCTGGGAGAAATGCCCCCCCACGTGATCCTGGCTGTCCTCCGTTAATACCACCAGCCAGCCGGTGAGTACCAGGAGCCTCAGCAGACCTGTGTGGTGGCCTGTCCTCATTCTGGATAGAACAGCAGGAAAGGGGTGTGTGCCTTTCCCCAAGCCACTGCTGCTGACACTGCCCCCACGTGAAAAAGCTAGCCAGGTTGTGTTTGTTTCAAGAAAGCCAAAAGGGTTTGGGAAATAGAATTTGCTTTTAAGACTTAAAAAATGTGTGCTAAAGCGTTAAATGCATTAGGGCTATGGTCCCCATGGCAGCTTGGATGGGAACACCTGGACTTTCCTGGTTCCCCCATGACCGGTGACCTTGACAGGGTGTCGGCCCTGGAGTGGGGCCTGCAGTTACAAGATCTCCTGGGTTCTGCCTGCCACAGCCCGAGGCTGGCTCCCGGCCCTCTGTGCCGTCGCCATTTAGGCCAAAACCGGGACAGAGTGTGACCTTGGCAGCTGGGTGTCCTGGGCTGCGGCCTGCTGGCGTCCGGTATTTTTGGTGTGACCCCCACCGGCATGAGCTCTCAGGGTTGGCGGGAGCCCAGTCTGCTCTGTCGCCTGGCATTCCTCCAAGCCTCTTCCCCATGACAGTCACTGTGACAGGAAACAAAACCATCGTGCCCAAGAAGGAGCCCTTCGCCCGTGTGTGGGTCAGTTCGAGATCTGCTGTTGGAGGAGGCGCCTGCGTAGCGGGCACTGCGGGAAATGCTGGTGGCTAGTCCGTGGATGTGTGTTAGCGGGGGCCGGGGGGCCCGCTGAGTACCCCGTGCAAGACGGGTGGTTCGGAGAGGGGACGGCCATCTCCCCTGCCTCCGTCCCCCGGCTGCCGTCCCGTCCTCACACAGGACGCAGGGCTCCCCCACGCCAGCTCCTCAGTCTCTGCCTGTGCTCCTTCCTGAACTACTTCTCCTTTGCTCTCCGATCCGCTCACCAGTGCCTTCCAAGTCGAATCTGTGTGTCCGGGACCTCGCAGTGCCTCTGTTTCTGAATTAGGATTACGGTGCTCAGGACTGACACACGCATAACATGGATTTACTCTTGTTTAGCTGCGGTGCTGGCAAGATTCTCAGCTTCTGTTTGTTGTTCAAGTGTGTGTTTCTGGCTGTAAACTATTACTTATTTTCATGTATATCAGAGATTTTTATGAATTTTTTTTCTCTTCTCTTTTCTCTCCTCCGGGGAATCCCTTCCCCTTTCCATAAACTGTGGCCTCTGTGTGGCTGTGCCCGTCTCTCCTCACCCTGCAGGGTTCTACGGCCTGGACGAGTCTGACCTGGACAAGGTCTTCCACCTGCCCACCACCACTTTCATTGGGGGGCAGGAGTCGGCGCTTCCTCTGCGGGAGATCATCCAGCGGCTGGAGGTGAGCGCGTGGTGGCGGGCACGGCAGTGGCGTGCGCTTGCCGGAGCCCGTGTTGACGGGGCCTCCCGACGGGGTGGTCATTTCTCTTGGGACCCTCTCATTTAAAAGTGTAAGAAAGGGGAGCTTTTTTGCTCTCTTGTAGGTAAAAATTCATGCTTTTTATTTTTACCGTCCACCACAGAGGAGAAAGTGTCTCTGTGTGTTTGGGTCCCGTGGGAGCTTATCTCCGGCGTGGAGGTTCCCGCCTTGTCCGGCCCCTCATCCATAGAGGGTGGGGGTGTCGGTGCCCATGCTACCCAGTAAGACACACGGAGGAAACAAGAACTCTGGAACGGGGCTCCCCAGAAGGGATCGTGCCGTTGCCCAGCGCGCTGCGGGGCACACACACTCTGGACCGCGGGCGGCACCTGGCATTCCTGGCAAGCCCCAGCTGCACGACTCCCGGAAGCGGGGCTCTCTGAGCCGGGCACCAGCACGCTCCGGGACTCGGGGGTTGATGAAGGGGGACCTGCTGCAGCTGGTGGGGTCTGGTCAGAATGCTCCCATTGCTGGTGTCGCTCGTGGCTGTGGTGGCCTAGAAAAGTCTGAGTGTCTGTTGGGGACATTGTCTTTAACTTGTGACGAGCGTCCCATGGCGTCAGTATTTCAGCTTGGCCCTCATCACTTCCCCACGGGCTGTTGGGGAAATGAGGACAGTTGGAGACCTCGTGCCAACATGATGGTGTGGACATGAGGAGGGGTGCGGGCCTCGGGGAGGGATGGGGAGGGGTGGGCAGGATTACCCAGTGGACCTACCCAGAACCAGTGTCATCCTTTTCCTCCCTTCTCACTGGCCTTACCACTGACAGCAGTGTGTGGACCCGCTCTGTCCAGCGTGGCCAGCAGCCCCTTGGGGCCGCTGAGTTCTGGAAGAATGCAGAATATCTGAGTGACTTAAGTACCAGAGAGAGAATGTTTTGATACGTTGACCAAATAGAGTCTGAGAGTTTGTTCATTCATATTAGAAAAATGTAAATTCGCCCCATGGTCATGTTGTTTCTCTGGGACAGTAACGAGCTAGGGGTTCCCCTGGTCTGGACCCCAGAAATGGCACCCCTTGTAGACCAATCCTTCTCCAGATAAGCCTGTCCGTGTCACGTTCCCAGGGGGTCTAAGCCCCGCCCACAGGTGTCCCAGGCATCTGGGGCTGGTGTTGTCTGGAAAGCAGAGCTTGGACTGGTCTGCAGGAGAGCTGGCATAGTGCGCTTGCCCCTCCTTCCCTACCCCTACACAGTCTCCAGTGGGGAGCTCAGCCTTTCTCCCAAGCCAAAAACCTTCCGGGCATTCTGGCCCCCTCCTCGGGGCACCTTCAGCACCTTCCTTCCCGCAGAGCAGAACGAGCTGGGCTGTGCAGAGCCCCCTGCTTGACCTCCTCGGCCTTGGTCCCCGTGGCCCTGAGCCCAGCGTTTGGAGGGCCAGAGCCCCATGGCTTTCACTTTCAGCCCAGGAGTTAGCCTCTGGCTGGGGGACCTTGGCTGTAGCTCTCCCAGCCCCAGGGTGCCCACATCCCAGCCTGTGTGCTATGCTCACAGCTTCCAGGTATTTGGGCAAAGTTGCTGACCATGGTGTGTGCGTTAACACACGTGTGTGCACACCAGGTTGCTGGCGTGAGCTGCTGGGACCGCAGGCCGGCTCTGGCCACTGGGAGCAGCTGGGGCAGGTGTGGCTTCGTGTTGCCTCATGCTGTGTCTCGCTAGACAGAGAAGCTAAGACTCCGCCCCGGGAAAGGCCTGGCCTTTTTTCCTGGGGACTGATCCAAGAACAAGAAAAACAACACACAACCCGGGGCCCTGTAACCCTGAGTCCAAGTCAATAGCTAAACTCGTGCTCCTGGTGGTGGATGCACACTAGTGTCTGCAGTTTCCACCTCCTAGTTTCCTGCCAGCCCCTAAGTTGTTCAAGTCCGAGAAATACTGCCCCTGGGGTACAAGGAGTCTTCTTCCTCTCCCTCCCCATCTCTCTGCAGAGACCTCCCCTCCCTTTCCTCTTCCCTACTTCTCTCCCTCCCCCATCCTCCCCTCCCTCCCTCCCCCTGTCCTTTCCCCTCCCTCACCTCTTCCCTACTTCTCTCCCTCCCTCCCCCATCATCCCCTCCCTCCCCTCTTCCCCTACTTCCGCCCCCTGTCCTCCCCCTCCCCCATGTCTTTTTTCCTCCTTCCCTGGCTGTCCTCTCCCTTCCCTCCTCCCCTTTCTCACCTTTCCCTCCTTCCCCCTGTCCTCTCCCTTCCTTTCCCTCTGCTCGCTCCCCTTCCTCCCTCCCTCCTTCCCTCACCTATTCTCTTCCCTCCCTGCCTCCCCTCCCCTGTCCTTCTCCTCTGTTTTTCTCTCCATCCCTTCACCCTGCACCCCCACCCCACGCTCCTCCCCCCTCATCCCCTCCCGCCTTCCCTCCCCTTGCCTCTCTCCCCTTCCCCCATCATCTCTCCATCCCCTCTTCTCCTCCTGCCCTCCCCATTCCCCTCCTCTCTCTCTTCCTACCCTTCCTCCTCTTTTTCTCTTTCCTTCCCCCTCCAACCCTCCCTTCCTCCAGCTCCCTCTGCTCCCTCCTCCATCTCACTCCCCTCCATCCTGCAGCGCAGATTTGGGCCCCAGGAAAACCTTTTCAGGCTGGCAGAGGAGGAGGGCTCCTACTCACAGGCCCTCTGGCTGGGCCGTGTGACTTGTCCTGGGGCCCAGTGGATGTGGGACCATGAAGCTCTGGCAGCAGGAGCGGGTGCTGACTGGGAAGTCAGGAAGTCAGGGAGGACAGCCCCTGGGAAGTCAGGAAGTCAGGGGGGACAACCCCTGGGAAGTCAGGAAGTCAGGGAGGACAGCCCAGCAGGACAGGCCGGCCCCCGGCTTTGTGCACTCCCGGTTTGTCACCGAGATGTCTTCAGAGAGGCACCAAGGCCCTTCCCAGCCCCACTTCTCTTCATCCTTAGACGCAATCTTCCTCTCTTGGCCGGGATGCTGGCGCATATAGTGCTCGTGGGTACTGTGAGCTCAGGCAGACCTTCCTTTGTTTCACGATCATGGAGCCACCTGCGGAGATGCCCGCCCCTGCTCCAAAGACCCTAGTGAGGGGTCCAGGGCACATCCCCGTCCTGCACCTGGCCAGCCGGCTCCATGTCTGTTGTGAAAACCAGCGGAGTACAGACGCACCCTCTGAGCAGAGCCTGGCGGTCTGAGTGCACGGAGAGTGCGGCTGCTGGAGATGGTTTGGGGAGTCTCTAAAGCCTCCCTCTGCCACACCAGGGTGCGTCCTTCTTTAACTCCGGAGCTGATGTGGGGTTTGCTGTCACCTGGACAGCTGTGGGTGAAGGAGGACAAGGGGCCCTGGTCACCTGTCTCAGGAAGGCGCGGGCCCCTGCGAAGGCCCCACCCTGAGGCCAGGTGCTCCTGTGGCCTTCCTGTCCTCTCCCACTCTAGCTTCCTGTGCACTGAGCCCACGCATCCCACAGGACACATGGCCGCCTTCCCAGCTGTCACGTGAGCGCCGTGGGTGGGACACAGGTGCCCTGCTCAGGGTCCTCTGTTTTGTAATGTGTGCACTCACACTTCTGTGGGACCCAGGCCTCCCAGGAGGCGCCAATTATTAAAAGCAGAATTTAAAATCTAAACACCTGGGAGTCTTGAGTGGCCATTGGGCTCTGTCACACACGGGCAGCACGGGTCCCTTCTGTCGTGTGGCGCTGGCCACGGTCTAACCTTGAGGTCAAGGAAGCTGGCTTCCCAGAATCATCCATCCTCTGGCTGGTGCCTCCATCTTCCTGACACAAAGGAAAACCTTGGCCCCACAGTTCTTACCGTCCCCTCCCTGCTCACCGGGCTCAGCATGACCCGCAGGACCTAGGCCGTGACCTGGGCCGCAGCTGGCCCCGTTGCCTTTGGAAGGGAGGACGCTGTTCCCGCCAGCTTTTGGGCTGGGTGGGCAGTCGACACCACGGGGAGAGCAGCCCTTGACGGGGAGGGGTGTGTGTCACACAGATGGCCTACTGTCAGCACATCGGGGTGGAGTTCATGTTCATCAACGACCTGGAGCAGTGCCAGTGGATCCGGCAGAAGTTCGAGACGCCCGGGATCATGCAGTTCACCAACGAGGAGAAGCGGACCCTGCTGGCCCGGCTCGTGCGGTCCACCAGGTGCCGGCCACGTGCGCAGGGTGGGGCTGGGCCGCGTGCTGTCGGGTCTCTCCCCGGGAGGGTGGGCAGCAGTGCCGGCCCAGGTGACATGGAGGTCCCTGGCCAGGTTTGAGGATTTCCTGCAGCGGAAGTGGTCGTCCGAGAAGCGCTTTGGGCTGGAAGGGTGCGAGGTACTGATCCCCGCGCTCAAGACCATCATTGACAAGTCCAGCGAGAACGGGGTGGACTACGTGATCATGGGGATGCCCCACAGGTGCGCACCCGCCACCCCGGTGACCGTGCCCGCCAGCCCCCAGCACCCTGGCCTCGGGCTCACCCGCCTCTGTGTCCCAGGGGGCGGCTCAACGTGCTTGCCAACGTCATCCGGAAGGAGCTGGAGCAGATCTTCTGCCAGTTTGATTCCAAGCTGGAAGCCGCTGACGAGGTGAGGCGCGTGGTTTCTTCTCGAGACCCGTCCCCCCGAGACCCTCAGCCCCGGACCCCCCACCCGAGACCCTCAGCCCCGGACCCCCGCCCCGAGACCCTCAGCCCCGGACCCCCCACCCAAGACTCTCAGCTCCGGACGCCCCCACATGAGACCCTCAGCCCCACCCTCACTCAGGATAGCCACCCCCCCGGGCAGGAGCTGGCTGCCTCCACTCCATCACATGGGTGGTGGGCCCCGGGTCCCAGTCCTCCCGCTGGGGACAAGGCCCTTCTCCTGGGGCCATGGGTGGGAGCCTTGGGGAGA